ATAGTTTGGACCAGATTTATCACCTTGCATAATTCTTCAGTTGTCCACCAGAGTAAAACCAGACCTCCTAGTGTCCTCCTCAAGATCCCTTTCGACCTGGAGCCGGGGTGTATTTTCAAGTGTGTCCTTTACTTTCAGGACGTCTTCACTCTTAGCCGGACTGCAAGGTGGTCCTGTCTGTGCTAAATGAGCGCATTTTCTTTCCTGCTCTGAGAAGGTACTATTGCCCTTCCTTCCCTCTGCCTGCATGCTCAGCTGGAGCCTTTCTGGTGACAGAATTCTACTTAGTCCTCAAGGGGAGCACGTGAATAACGTCCGGCCAATCACACGCCCAGTCACGGTGGCAAGTGATACAACGTAAGTCAAAGATGCAGAAACACTTGCTGAAGCTCTAGATTCAAGCTCTACCCTGCTCTCAGAGTATCCCGGCAATTTTCCGCACACTCTACCTTCCTGTAAATGTAAACCGTCAGACGAGAAAGCAGAGGACTGAGGACGAAACCAGTTTCTTGTCTTTTTTTTTTTAATCTTTTTTTTTTTTAAGATTTATTTATTATGTATACAGTGTTCTGTCTGCATGTACAGCTGCAGGTCAGAAGGGGGTGCCAGATCTCATTACAGATGGTTGTGAGCCACCATGTGGTTACTGGGAATTGAACTCAGGACCTCTGGAAGAGCCACCAGTGCCCTTAACCTCTGAGCCATCTTTCCAGCCCCAGTTTCTTGTCTTTTACTTTCCTGCACTCTGAACGTCTTTGTGTGCGTATACATGCATGTGCGGCCAGGGGAGGGGGAGTCAAAGAACTCTGAACGTCTTTGTGTGCGTATACATGCATGTGCGGCCGGGGAAGGGGGAGTCAAAGAACTCTGAACGTCTTTGTGTGCGTATACATGCATGTGCGGCCGGGGGAGGAGGGAGTCAAAGAGCTCCTCTCCCTTTTTTCTTTTGAGATAAGGTAGGGAAAAAAGCTCTGATTTTTAAGACGAAGGACAAATGTCGATAAGTCTGAGCCTTGAGCTTTTTGAGACTTCTGAATATTAGAATCACAGGACAACAGTCGTGTTTGGGAATCTCAAGCTTAAAACTTTTATAAATATAAATGTAACTTGAGTTTGACTAAAGTAAAATTTCCATTTTCTACTCAGTACTTCAAAACATGCATTTTATATATACATTTTATATTTTCATACATTTTGGTCAGATAAACCAGGAAACTACTAATCACATTCCATTCAACCTTAAAATGACCCAGCTGATTGCTAATATCTCCCTATTCAACAGTGACAACTATATATTGGGTTATGTGGTAATTTTGACACTATTTGAATGAATATCTTTTATTTGAATAATACATATTTTAAGTATAATATTATCTATTATGCATCCATCATTTATCTACCTATCTACATATCTATCTACATATCTATCTATCATCTATCTATCTACTATCTATCTATCTATCTATCTATCTATCTATCTATCTATCATCTATCATCTATCTATCATTTATCTACCTATCTACCTCTCTCTCTCTCTCTCTCTCTCTCTCTCTCTCTCAATATTTTACCTGTAAAAAATGTAGCCGAGCTAGGAAATCTGTAATGTAACTTCCAAGGGGCTTCAGACTTGGGTAAGACCTTTCCGCCCATATTTCTGGAACCTTCCCAATAAGCAAGCTGCTTGAAAGCGCTTCCAAGGCAGAGTCCATCACGACCACACCTTTGATAGCCTTCTTCAGGTCCCGCAAAGTGTTACGTATCGTCCTAATTAAGCTGCAGTGAAAGAAACGGTGTCATCCACATATACTTGGCAGTAAATACTCACATATCATTGGCTAGGAAAGACAGCTGGAAGCAGTCACAGTCTTACGGGAGTATTTCCTGGTGCATGGCTGTGCCCACTTGGTAGGTAGTGTGTGAGGTAGCTGCAGGTGCCATTTGAATGGACATTTTTCATTTTAGCCATTTCTCACTTTTTCTTTTTTGAAACAGGGTCTTATTATGTAGCTCCGGATGACCCAGAATTAGCTATGTAGACCAGACTGGCCTTAAACTCACAGAGATCCCCCTGCCTCTGTTTCCTCAGTGCTGGATTAAAGGTGTACACCACCACAGGTGGCATACTATTTTGAAATATAGAATAAACCAGTAGCATAGCATATCAATTTATTATTATTTGATATTGATATCAAATAATATCAAATACTTTTTAGCTATTATTGCTGAGGACCTAGATAACTTTAAAAATTATATGCTGATAAATATAATTGTGTATTTATGGAATAAAGGTGCTATTATAATTTTTAATACAATTGGAAAATCATGTTAACTTCATTAACACATCATTTTAAATATTTCATATTTTATGTCATAGAACATTGGATATTTGCACTTTTATGATATTAAAATGTAATGTATAAAATTATTATCTGTATTATGCATGTTGTGTGACTGTTCTGACAAATCAAGCTTTTCCCTTCTGTCTAGCTGAGACTTTGCACACCTTGACTACCGGTAGTCTCTCAGCTCTCCCATCTCCCAGGCTCTGGTAACTACAGTTGCACACTTTGTCATAGAAGATTAGTTGTTGTGCACAAACACAAGAAGATGCAGTATTTGTCTTCCTAGGTCTGGCTTATTTCACTTAGCAAATGTTCTTTGGTCCCATCACTGCTGTGCCGAATGCCACAATTCCTTCCTTTGGAGGGGTAGATCCTGTTCACTGTATGGTGTAACACATTCCCTTTATGTTTTCATGAATACAAGTTGATTCTGTAACAATGTTATTGTGAACAACAGTGTAGTAAACATAGGAATAAAACATCTTTTTGACTATTGATTGAAAATTTTTGGGTAAATACTCAAAAATGATACTTCTGGGTCATATGATATTCTTTTTAGAGGCCCCTCCGTGCTCACATAATGAATACACCAGTTTATTTTCTACTGGCTATTTTCATGAGAGTGAGGGATGGCTCTTAGGACGGTTTTAGCCTGTCTCCTGATACCTGGCCTTTGGAGATCTTGTGTTAGAATGTGTGTTCCAGTCTCTTGCCCATCGATTAATCAGAATATTTGTTTCATTTCTGGAAGTTGTGGGAATTCCTTACATATTTTGTAAATCTCTCATCCCATGATTGCTTCCTTTGATACAGAGAATCTCTGTATTTTGAGGTAATTCATTTGTCTGTCTTTGCCTTTGAGGGTCAGATTTTAATGAAAAAAAGATTGCTATCCAGACTGAAGCTCCCAGTTTCCCCCATGCTTCCTCTCACCAGTTTTATAGTCGCAGGCCTGTGTGTTTGGTGACCGAACTCAGCACCCTGCGTGTGTCTGGCGTGCGGTCTGTTGTTGAAACACATGCCCACAGCACTCTCAGGGCTTGTGTCAAATCTTTCTCTATTTGGAGTTAGTTTTATATGTGGTATGATACAAGGTCTGATTTTATTCTTTTGCCCTACACATGCATTTGCCCAGCGCCACTGATGCTGAGACTGTAGCTCCTCCGTGCTGTCACTGGCACGGCTGTCATTGATCAATTGATTACAAATGTGTGTCGTCTGTTTTCTGGGCTCTCTATTCTGTTCCAGTGGCTAAAGCTGCTTCAGTTACACCATTTGATAGTATTCTTTGAGTTTAGATCGTGTGATGCTCCGGCTTTGTTCTCTTTGCTTATAACTGCATTAGATAGTTGAGATACTTTCTGATTCTTTATGAATTATAAGATTCTAAATTTTTTTCCTACAGCTATGACACAGGAAATTTTAATTTTTATAAGGATTTCTTTCAATTTATGAACCATTTTGGTGAAAACTATTATATATATGTATTTATATATGCACATATGTATATATAATCATAGTATTTGTATAAGAAATACTGAATTATGGTTGGAGATGCTACTCAGTTGTAGTACATCTGCCTAGAACATATGAGGCCCTAGGTTTTAGTCTTTAGCACCACAAAATAAAGAGCCAAGCAAATAAACAAACTACACCCCCCAAAAATCCAGAGTTAAATAGAGCAATATGGTATTTTAATATAGCTTACTTTAATATATCAATAAGACCAGAAAACAAAATAAACATAAATATTACAGAAAACTCAAACAAAACAATTTTCACTTTCATGATCCACTACTGAATTACAAAAAGTTCATAAAAGTCAGAGCAAATAATTTGTTTATCATGGGATACCTAGCCAGCATCAGTAAGAAAAGGGAGTCAGACACAGTCGTGCACTCCTGTAATCCAGCAGCATCTGCAGAAGTGGAAGCTGCAGCTTTAGTGGTTCAAGGCCAGCTTGAGTTACATAGCAAGTTGGAGGCCAGCTTAGGCTATACTTTGTCTCAAAACCAATCAACACATAAACAAGGGCAAGTCTAAGGTTACTGATGGCTAACCTGGGCTACAGAACTTAAACATAAAGAGAGGAAGCACATGGCAGCAGCAGAAACTGGGAGAAAGGGGATTAGGTAGATCTAATCCAGGCTCACTCTGTCTTTAATTTAAAATTTAAAGTGATGTATATGTTTAGGCATCAGCGTACAGCTCTGAGCAAATATGAACAGTTGCCAGAGGAGTCCAGAGGGGACCATGGAGCTGGAGTTCCAGGAGGTTGGGAGCTGCCTGCCCAGACGACCAGGAACTGGGAAAGCAGCAAGTGCCCATAACCATCGAGTCGTCTCTCCAGTCCCATCTTTACTTTGTGAAGAGAACAGTAATGTAACAGATGAGAAGTTATTTCATTAATGACTAATCAATAAGAGCAGATCTCTTTTTATCATCATTTTTACATTATAAAAGATTCTCTCCTGGGGCAAAAGGCTATGCTACTTAAAATAAGTAAAATTTAATGTCTTAAGATTTTTACTTCAATACCAGTCAATCACTCTTCCAGTCTTGGCCGGCTGCCTCCTGAGGCCCAGGGATGTACTTACTTGTTGAAGCGCTCCATCTCCTGCACCAACACGGTGTTCATGCTCTCTTCATACCTCACAGGGTAGCGCTGCAGTGCTGCTTCGATGTCAAAGTCGTTCGGGAGCTGAGAGAACAGATGTTGAAAGCCACGAGTTACTCTCAGAATAGACAGTAAGTTTCATTCGCTCTAAGATCAATAACAGTTAACATATAGGTAATCGTTATTTTCACTTTACAGATAAGACATCATAGTTCTGAAAATCCATGGGGTTTCTTTTTGCAAATTGAGTCTTATTTTCCTTGGATAACATGTATTTACAACTTCATAACTGTTTTATGTTTGTGTGTAATCAATTATCACTCTCCTATCAAATAGTTAATCTCGTAAATGCAGAAATGTTCTAGGGCATAGGGAGAAAGCCACTTAGTATGTGATTCCTATGCAATATTCACAGACACTTGAGGTGAGGAGATGGGGAGGTCTTTGGAATGTGGAAAGTCCTCAGACACTGGAGTTCATACCCCTGAAGTGGTCAGGGAGTTCCCCAATTAGGGAATGCTTGAACTGAGAGTTAGGCTACCCTTTCTGTCCCAAGAACCTCAGCGCTCCCCCAAATACATCTCAAATCTTCTTTTGAAAGCCTTACTGGAGTCAGCATTCACGAAGCCAACAGTCTTTCCCCACAGAGGTGAACCATAGAGGCAGGTTTGAAGGGAGGCGTATTGCACAATCAGCATCCTGGTGACCAGGACTGTTGGCCTCTATTATGGTGGCACAGAGTGCCACTTCCCTCCCTGCTTTAATGACCATAGCCAGGATTATGTGGGAGTCCTGTAGTGGAATAGGGGCCGGATTCTGCCACGCCAGGGTGTCTGTCACCGAAGTATGTGCATCTTTACAGTGGTTACATTGGGAAGAGAACTATAAAAATTGCTGCTGAGAATCGCAGTCTGTTCAAATTTTCCTTAGTCTGGACAAAGATGGCAGCAGAGTACCATTCCACTTCAGCGAGCATTAGTGCGTGGGGCTATCCCGCGGAAAGGGATTGACAGCTGCAGGCTAAGCACTGATATCACCTCCTAAGGTACAGATAAAACACCATGTTCACCTTGAACCAGCAAGTTCAGAACATTCCATTTTTTAAAAAAAGTCTTTTAAACTTTTTATTTAGAAATAAAAATAAATCCTGTGTACATTAGTTCACCCACAACTATAGTTACTAAGAAGTTGACCACGTAGGAGGCATTTTACAAACTACTTCATGTTAACGTTCTCCTTACTGTCCTCAAATCTTTCCCAGCCGAAGCTGTTCTCCACCTAGTAGACTTGGAACAAACATTCAAGAAGTAAAGCATGTTGTTAAAAGTCATAGTCCAGCTTCATGGAGTTTCCAGTGCAACTGAAATTTTTATCACAGCATGAGCATCATATTTTAAACTAAGTATTACCTGCTCCAGGATATCTTCAGTGATTTCTAACAGGATCTGGTCGGTACTTCCTGAGGAGCCTGTCTGTTTGGAGCCTCCCTGGGTGAGGAGCAAGGACTCAAAAAGGACTTTTGTTTGTTGAAGATCTTTGGAGATGTCAACATTTTCATGTAATCCGAATATCTCAGGTTCTTGAGTAAATGGGAGTTTCTATTGGAAAACAGATTAAGCGTGCATCATATGTTCACTGTGGATCAGGATATGCCACCTTTGCATAGCCATTATTTTGAGCTAAAGGCCCAAGATAGGCCCTAATCTGCCTAACCGCAGGGTGTTTGTTTTGTGCCAAGAGGCGGGTTCTTACTAGATGTACTGGGGTGAACCTGCAGATTTTACTTAGATAACTGTATCTTCCATTAGCTTCCCTCATGTGTTTCCTAAGCACTTTCTCACAATTTATTGCCCCTTCAGGTGCAAGGCGTTTCCCCTGTGTTATCACCATATTTAAATGGCCTTCTAAACCCCAAAGTAAATTGCTTCTTTTGGTTTTCAGTCCTTTCACCGAAACTCCTGTATACATGAAATATTAACATGAACACAAATGATATACTACTTTTCCCGTGAGCTGCCTTTCATCCAGAGAGCACCACAAGGGCAGAGGAAAGTGTTGTTTCCTTTCCTACTACAAAGCATTAATTCATAAGACAGATGTACAAACAACAAGGGGTTAAGAATTAACTCAACATCAAGTACCCCGAGCTTCAGGTTTCCTGATGTTCAGAATTACCTCAACAAAACGAGTCTGAAAGTTCATTAGAATATTGCTTGTCTAAACTTGTTTATTAGAGGGTATAACTCATCATTCAATTAAAACACACACACACACACTTTTTCTCTCTCATGCACACTTTCTCTCCTTTACACACACACATTCTTTCTCACACACAGACACACACTTTCTCCCCTTCTCTCTCTTTCTCTCTCTCTCTCTCTCACACACACACACACACACACACGCACATATACACGCAGACACTTTTTCTCTCTCACACACACTTTTTCTCCATTACACACACGCACACACACACATTCTCTTTCTCACACATAGACATATACGTTCTCTCACACACACTCACACTTTCCCTCTCACACACACTTTTTCTCTCACACACATTCTCTCTCTCACACAGACACACACTTTCTCCCCCTTCTCTCTTCTCTCTTCTCTCTCTCTTCTGTCTCTGTCTCTCTCTCCCTCACACACGCACATTCTCTCTCTTTCACACACACACACTCACTCATCTTACCCTCTTTTCAGACCATTTACCTTAATGAATTCAATGTAGTCCTCGTAAGTGCCTTTGGGAGGCACAAAATAGTTCCCGCTGGGAGAAAACTTGTAGTGAGGGTTCTCAATGACCTGCGGGTTGTAGAAGTCGGACAGCATGGTTAGCAGGAGGCGTCTGTCCCAGTCGTCCGTGACTCTCCCTCCGTAGTTGCATTCCCCAGTCAGGTACGTGATAGCTTCGAATGGGATCGTGTCATATTCATTTATAAACAGCTGAGGCAAAGACAGAAGTGAAAAACAACTTTAAATTCTTTTACTTCATTTCTATTTTAAAATGGTATTCTCTTTCCTCTCTCTGCCTATGTAGAAAGGGAGTGGAAAGAATTACTACTATAGCCCAGATCAGGATACTGAGTGTCCTTCTCTACCTCTTTGCTTTACTGCTGAAACACAGCTTCAGTGAACTGAAAGCTTGCTTTCTTTGGGCTCGGCTAATTGGCCAGTAAGCTCTGGGGCTTAGCCTGTCTCAGACTCCCAATGCTGGGGTTATGGGACATACACATAGGTAGGTGCTGGTGACTCTGAGTCAGAGGCTCAGACAGATCAAGTGCTCTTTCCCAGTGGGTCATTCTCTCGCCCTCAGAATGCCATTTTCTTGAAAAAAAAATTAAAAATCACATGTGATCATGTGCATGTGTGTGTATGTATGTAGTATGAGCACATGGGAATATAGGATCCCCCAAAACCAGACTGACATTGGGTCAGCTGAAGTTACAGGTGCTGTGAACTCCCCAGTATGGGTGCAGGAACTGAACTCAGGTCCTCTGCAAGAGTAGCATGTGCTACTAACCACTGAACCATCTCTCCAGTCTTCATAATGCTTTTTTAAGTGAGAAAAATATTCAATTTAAATAAGTGACATGGAAATTGCTAAAGCTTTTAAAAATGAATGTTATTAAGCCTTCTTGGTATGAACTGGGTCCATTTTTATCTGCGAGGGGACTCAGCAATGCCCAGAGATCGGTAAATCATAATTGTGGTGGGGGTGAGGTGCTGTTGGCACTTCTTGGGGAGAGGTATGGGACGCTCTTCATGCACAGGATGGCTGCCCATAGTTCCAGATACCAACAAGGCCAATACTGAAATCCTGTGCCTGTTTTAGGGCACCTTTCACAATGAGATAAAAACAAAGTAATTTTAAGTCTTAGTGCTGGGTCCTTGTTCACATGGTGACATGGGTTCAATACAGAAGTTTCCTTATAATCAGAGCAATAATAGTAAAGCTATGATTTGCATGGCTTTCACATTGTCTTATACATCTGCCATTAAACCTGCAGAACATGAAACAGTTAGGAAAATGTGAAGGGATGAGAAGACTTAAGTTTATTTCTTCTGCTTCTAGATCCTATGCTTTGCCCAACATACAGAGGAAGTGTGTGCGCGCTGCAATATGTTACTTGCTGAGACAGTTTTGTCTGTCTCGGAATTATAGAAGAAATGGTGCATGTTTGAGAATATATTTTTTAAGTTTTCCAGAGTCCAATCAAAATAAGGGCTTAGTCTTTTTTGAGACTTTCCTGTTTTCAAGAGGAAGAGAATTGCTAAGAGATCTGAGAGGGACTGAGGAAGAGGCAGTGTTATCCTTTGAGGAAATGAATTATGTGCTGGATGAAAAGTTTCCCCGCCTCCTCTTTGGGGGAGGATACATGTATGTTAAACTGGGTCCCCTCAAACTGGAGGAGACCCCTAGGGAACTGAATGTTAAATTTGTACCGTAGGCAGGAAACGGAGACAACTCTCTCCCTGTTGTTTAACCACTTAGCTGCCAGTTTCTGCTACGTCCTTTGGAGAGAGGTACCCTGCCACTGTGACCAGGCGGGGATGTCCCCCCACTAGGTGTGAAATACGGATCTAGTGGATGTCTATGAATTTCAGAGAATTTTTATGAATTTCTATGAATTTCTGGGAAGGTTGAGGTCATCAGACCTGAGGCCTGGCAGATAATCGAGTTCTCAGTTGCTTATAGGTTGTATGGCAAATGTTTGAAGCAAAATATTCTCTGTATCTACTACTAGTTTCAAAACCAATGCTCAAATCATAGTCATTTAACATTTAATTCATAAGCACCCATTTCAGCAGCTATAAGGATTTTCAAATGAAAGACTTATTTGTGTTTAAGGCTTCTGAGTCATTATTTTTAAAAGACTTGATAAGATACTAATAATTTATTTTAATTATTTTTTTCTCATTCAGTGCTGGGGCCCAAACTTGGGCCTCGTGTATACTGGGCAAGTACCTACTACTGAGCTACATCTCCAACCAAGCATCAGTAATTTCTATAAAACTAATCTGTTATTTTTATTATAAAGCCTGAATAAATACCATTAAGTGTGGCCTAGGAACTGCTAAGCAGTGCTCCTTCACCAATGCTCATTCTGTGCTCCTCTCACCTGCAGTTGCCGGATACTGATGCGCAGGTCTGACTCATTAAATCCGTACGGAATATTCCAACCCAGAGGACCGAATTTCTTCCTCTCTTGAACAAGGGCATGAAAAAAGCAAACTCCGAAAAGCAACTTCTCCCACGCCTTTAATGCAAAAATTGCACAAAAGGGAAATCAGATTAGATTTTCATCAGTAAAAGTAGAAAAGCAGACGCTCTTTCACTTCAGAGTTCTGTGATCAGATGCCAGGGCCAACTTTGATTTTAAAAAGGCATGTATCATACTTTCTACAAAAGCATTCATGTTGTACTTAGCTCAGCTATCCAAAGCTAAGCAAACCATAATATTAAATGTTACTAAAATACAAATTATCACTATTTTATTAAAGTGTTGGTTAATGAAACCTGCCATCCATAGCTCTCTCTAAGCTCAGCACTCAGTATTATTGTAGATTTGTGGGCATGTGCTTGAGACTATAATTGCAAAAGAATGACTAAAGAAGAGAATATGAATAAATCCAATATATAATTCTCAACTTTATCATTTTTCATTTGGAGAACACCAATAAAAGCATTCGTCATTGACCCCCTCCGTGACGTCTTCTGGTGTCTAATACGGATGCTCATCCATCTCTTTAGTCTCCCAAAGTAGATTGCAAGTATACTGACGGCATGTATTTCAAATTAGAACACCTCAAACATAGCTCTAAGTCAATCCTTACTGTGATAAAGTGGTATAAATTGTTTCTGTCCCTCCTTCCCTTCCTATTTGTTTTGAAGTCTTGTTCTGCTGCCCAGGCTAGTCTCCTGGGCTCCAGCGATCTTCCTGCCCAAGAGTCTGGATTGGCTAGGACTAAGTCTCACTTCCCAGTTTCTTTATTATTAAGATGCGAACCAGGCATGGTGGTATAAGTGTATAGCCTCCATTGACTCTACATCATTCCTTGCCTTCAGGTTCCTGCCTTGTTTGAATTCCTGTTCTGCCTTCCTTCCATGATGGACTATATCTAATGTGGAGGTGTGAGCCAAATAAACCCTTTCTTCCCCCACTTACTTTCGGTCATGGTGTTTCATCACAGCAGCAGTAACCTGAATGAAGAGATATCCAAAAGTGGGGTAGCTCTAGCCTTAGTTGTTTGAGGAATCTTCATACTAACTCTGCAGGGGCTGAACCAACTTACATTTCCACAAACAGTGTGGAAAAGGGTTTTCTTTTATCTACATCCTTGCCAGTATTCCTGTCTTTTAGATAAGCTTTCTGGGTGGGATGAGGTAAAATTTCTGTGTCTTTAATTTG